ATTATATATTACGACTATATTACCTATAGATTATATATTACGACTATGTTACCTATAGATTATATATTACGACTATGTTACATACAGACTATATATTACGACTATGTTACATACAGACTATATATTACGACCATATTACATATAGACGATATATTACGACCATATTACATATAGACTATATATTACGACCATATTACCTATAGATTATATATTACGACCATATTACCTATAGATTATATATTACGACTATATTACCTATAGATTATATATTACGACTATATTACATATAGATTATATATTACGACTATATTACACATAGATTATATATTACGACTATATTACATATAGATTATATATTACGACTATATTACATATAGATTATATATTAAGACTATATTACACATAGATTATATATTACGACTATATTACATATAGACTATATATTACGATTATATTACATATAGACTATATATTATGATTATATTACATATAGATTATATATTATGATTATATTACATATAGATTATATATTATGATTTTAATATCAACATGTAAACACAGTAAATTAATATTTCAGTGTTTCTCACCAAACAGGATGAAGAGGCTGTGAGGAGAGATGCTCTGTAGAGACAAACAGTGTTAGTAAAGTTACAACGCAGTGCTCTGATTGGTCGGTGGCTGTGTGACCGTGTGACCTCTGACCTCTGGGTTCAGGTTGGACACCAGCAGCACAGAGTGACCAGCAGGAGGCGCCACCTGCAGGGAGACACGAGGAGGAGACAACAACGGACCGGGGACGGACAGGGACAGACCTGAGGACAAAAAAACTTTATTTAAAACACCCACACAGGACAAATGGAGGAGGAGGAGGAGGAGGAAGAAGAAGAAGAAGAAGAAGAGGAAGAGGAGGAGGGATTTGAAACATTTAAATTCTCACCTGTGTGTTGATGGAAGGTCGGCTGGAAAGCTGCTGCTCCGTATGGAGGGAGAGGTACACCTGTAACACACACACACACACACACACTCTGGGCAAATCACAGACTGTGATGTTGTTTTATTATCAACCAGTGAACAGGAAGTGACCATATCTGGACTGAGGAGGAGTGACGTAGAGACGCCGTCTACATCTCTGGCAGAGACCTGTCAATCACAGTAGCCCCGCCCTAAAGCATCCCCTGCTTTATGGTCTGTGTGACTCTAAATGGACCATAATGTACTAAATGAACATCATGCTGTATTGAAGAAGACTTGAAACTAGAGATTGAGACCATAAACTCATGTTTACAATGTTTACTGAGGTAATAAATCAAGAGAGAAGTAGAGTCATTTTCTCATAGACTTCTATACAACCAGAGGAGTCGCCCCCTGGTGGACACTAGAGAGAATGCAGCTTTAACACGTGAAGCTAAGTGGCCTGTTTGGATCTCCAGCTAGCAGAGGTTAGCGTTAGCGTGAGCTCGTCCTACCGAAGCCGGCGGCGGGGTCCAGCTCTCCTGACGGGAGGTCGGCTCTGGTGAAGTCTCGGCTCTTGTCGTTGTTGTACTTCACGTTGAGCGCGCTCAGTTTGGAGAAGTCGATCCTCAGCGTGCAGCAGCCGTTATAGATGTTCTGACCGTCCAGAGACTGAAAGACAGGAAGTCACAGCGCTGCAATCTGATTGGACCAGAGCTTCATCAGAGACTCTGGACTCTAAACAGTACATTACTAATATGTATGCGTGTGTGTGTGTGTGTGAGAGCCTGTGTGTGTGTGCGTGTGAGCGTGCACGTGACTCACAGCCTTGGCGTGATGAGCGTGCACGGTGTCAATGAACTGCAGCAGAGCCTGAAACTGATTGTTTCTGGTGAACGTGATGATTTTCAACACGGAGCCGAACTTACTGAAGATCTGAAGAAACACAATAATAAAACCATAAACACGTAATATATAAATTATAACAATATTAATAGTAATAATCTCTGCTGTTTGCAGATGATGTGGTCCTGTTGGCCTCCTCGGATCGTGACCTCCAGCATTCACTGGGGCGGTTTGCAGCCGAGTGTGAAGCGGCGGGGATGAGAGTTAGCACCTCCAAATCTGAGGCCATGGTTCTCTGCCGGAAACCGGTGGATTGCTCCCTCCAGGTGGTGACGGAGTGCCTACCTCAAGCGAAGGAGTTCAAGTATCTCGGGGTCTTGTTCACGAGTGAGGGTAAGATGGAGCGGGAGATCGACAGGCAGATCGGTGCAGCTGCAGCAGTAAAGCAGGCGCTGCACCGGACCGTCTTGGTGAAGAGGGAGCTGAGCCGGAAGGCAAAGCTCTCAATTTACCACTCGGTCTACGTTCCTACCCTCACCTATGGTCACGAACTCTGGGTCGTGACCGAAAGGACAAGGTCGCGGCTACAAGCGGCCGAAATGAGCTTCCTCCGTAGGGTGGCCGGGCTCAGCCTTAGAGATAGGGTAAGGAGCTCGGTCATCAGGAGGGAGCTTGGAGTAGAGCCGCTACTCCTTCGCGTCGAAAGGAGTCAGCTGAGGTGGTTCGGGCATCTAATTAGGATGCCTCCTGGACGCCTCCCACTGGAGGTTTTCCAGGCACGTCCAACTGGGAAGAGACCCCGGGGAAGACCCAGAACACGCTGGAGAGATTACATCTCCCAGCTGGCCTGGGAACGCCTCGGGATCCCCCAGAATGAGCTGGAACATGTTACCGGTGAGAGGGAGGTCTGGGTCGGCCTGCTTGACCTGCTGCCACCGCGACCCGACCCCGGATAAGAGGAG